GTCACATTTTCTAGACCACTAACCATCTTTTGCTGCTTTGCTCTGGTCTCTTTCCCAGCTGTCCACATCTTTCATTGAAGTATGGTGCCTAATACTAAAAATGATACTCCAGGTAAAGTCTCGCCATGCTGTATAGTGTGTGGAAGACTCACTTCCTGCGATTTGCATGCTAGACTTATGTTAACATGTCCTAGTGTACTATTAACGGTGCAAACAAGGGTTACATAGTTGACTCAGCTTGCAAGCCAGTACAACTCCCAGGTGCTTTCCTGCCTAGCCTGTTTTTCTTGCTTCTGTTTCACATTGAAACACTCTCGACTACTGTGAGCAGGACTGCCCAACTAGGCAGATGCTCACTTGACAATACTGTCATTTGGACTGTATTTCCTTAGGTCAGGGGTTCCCAACACTTTTAGATCATGGCCTGGCAAACCACAGACCGGAACTGACCACGAACCAGACCGCAGACCACCAAACTGCAGTCTGGAAGTGACCAGCATACTGCGGAACAGCAGCCAACCCTTTTTTATACTCAATATAAAGAAGGGCTGGTTGCCACTCTGCAGTATGCTGGTCACTTCTGGGCTTCCAGTCTGGCAGCCAACCCTCCTCCAGACTGGCAGCCAATCCTTCACGGTCCGACACCGAGCCACGGCCCAAGGGTTGGAAGCCTCTGCTTTAGCTGGTGACAGTATCGTAAGAGACAGTGTGGGGAGGAGGCTCTTCTCAGCCAGACTGGCTGACCTGCTCCACCAGGCTTTAAACTAAGCCTGCTGGAGGACGGGGGGGAATACTCCCACTGCTGGCCTGCTGAGCAACCCTTGCAATGCCAGCAGGTCAAGGCATTTAAGGGATCCCACCCCTGCCCCAGCCCTGGAACAATCTGTGGGCAAGGCAAGGGCCCCCAAGGGAACACTTGCATGCCTATACACAAATGCCAAGAGCTTGGGGAATAAACAGGAGCAACTTGTCCTCCTGCTAAATGCAAATAACTATGATGTCATAGGGATAACAGAGACCTGGTGGGACTCCACCCATGACTGGACCACGGGTATAGACAGCTATATATGTACAGGAGAGATCTAGAGGATAAAAGGGGTGGAGGTGTAGCTCTCTATGTCAAGGAAAGCTATGCATGCCTACAAGCAGACATTGGTGCCCAGGGAGGGAATAGAGACCCTTTGGGTTAAAAGCCGTGGGGAACATGGCACAGGGGATGCTATGGTGGGAGTCTACTACAGACCCCCTACCCAGGGTCAAGACCTTGACCATGAGTTTGCCAGGGAATTAGCTGAGGTCACACGCCCCTGGTACATAATTGTCATGGGAGACTAACTTCCCAGACATCTGGCGGGAGGAGCCCTCAGCCAAATCTGAGCAGTTGCAAAACTTTCTCTCGTGCATGGATGACCTCTATCTAACACAGGAAGTCTACGGGCCAACAAGAGGCAAGACGCTGCTCAATCTCATACTGGCAACCGGGACGACCTAATCAGTGACCTAACGATTGAAGAGAAGCTGGGTGACAGTGACCTTGACTTCAGGAAAGCTGACTTTGACAAGCACAGGAAGCTTGTCAGTGCGGCCCTAAAGGACCACAACCCAAAGGGGAGGGGAGCTCAGGACAAGTGGCTGCTCCTCAAGGAAGCGGTCCTGGATGCGCAAGCAAAGTCCATCCCGTCTCAGAAGAAAGGCAGCAAGAGGGGCAGCCCCCCTGGCTCTCCAGGGAACTAGCAGACCTCCTACGTCTTAAAAAGGAAGACCTACAAAGGATGGAGGACGGAATCTACCACCAAGAAGGAATACTCTGGTCCGGACCTGCAGAGAGCAAACCAGGAAAGCCAAGGCTGCAATGGAACTCCAGCTAGCTACAAATATCAAGGACAATAAAAAGTCCTTTTTTAGATATGTGGGGAGCCGGAGGAAAAGCAAGGGCAACATTGGACCCCTGGCTAAACCAGATGGAACAACTGACAACCGATGCCTAGGAAAAAGCAAATTTGCTAAATGGGTACTTTGCGGCCGTCTTTCACCAGTCCCATCGGACACCCCTGCCCACTGTGGGCCAGGGAGGCCCGGGTGAGGGAGACTCTTTGCCCTGCATCGAAGCTGACCTTGTGATGGAACACCTTGACAGGCTGGATACCTCCAATTCAGCCAGCCCTGACGGTTTACACCCCAGGGTACTCAAGGAGCTGCCAAGCATCATAGCCCAGCCCCCAGCACAGATCTTTGAGAACTCCTGGCGTTCTGGTGTAGTGCCCGAAGACTGGAAGAAGGCCAATGTGGTGCCTATCTTCAAGAAAGGGAGGAAAGTAAATGCGGCAGACTACAGGCCCATCAGCCTGGCCTCTATCCTGGGGAAGGTCTTGGAAAAGATTATCAAGGAGGCCATCCTTATCAGACTGGCTGACGGCAATAACCTGAGGGATACCCAGCATGGGTTTGTTGCAGGTAGGTCTTGCTTGACCAGTCTCATTTCCTTCTACGACCAGGTGACCTATCACCTGGACAAGGGGGAAGAGATTGACGTCATATATCTTGACTTCAAAAAAGCCTTCGATGTGGAATCCCATGATCACCTCTTGGCAAAACTGCCTAGCTGCGGTCTTGACCTCACCACGATCCGCTGGCTGGGGCACTGGCTCCGCTGTAGGACCCAGAGGGTGGTGGTCGACAGAAGCCAATCATCTTGGTGTGCAGTCACCAGTGGGATCCCTCAAGGCCCTGTCCCATAGGGCCTATGCTGTTTAACATCTTCATTAATGATGTGGACATTGGTGTCAGA